AATTTATGCAATATTTCAAACCTTTAACCCACTGGGGAAAATCAACCCATGGCAACAGTTTAAAAGCAGCCCAATTTCGTGGAAAAACAACAACAACCCTGCATCCAACACGAGCTGCAGAAGTCAGATTTGACTCAGATCACGGGTCAAAAGCTCATTGACAAATATCTTTTATCGTAAGATGTGCTCCCTTTACACAGTGCGTGTGCGATCGCAAAATCGAAAGTGAACTGCGAGCGCTCATTCAAAGAGGATTTAAATTCCCCACATATTGATAGCGGCACCCTGATGCGCGAAAAGTATATACAATATTAGAATGTTTGCGGGAGCGGATGGGAGCGTGCGGTAATGGTCAGAAGTTCAGCAAGAGCCGGATCAACAAGTCCTGCGCTATCATGCAGCAGCGGCGCAGTCAGTCAGTGAGCGTAGTAACACATGACGTCTATACATAAACTACACAGAACCCCACTATTCGGACAAATATACATAATAAAAAGATGATACAAAATTTAATACCTTGAAAAATGGCATTTAAGACGTTTTAATACTTTTTAAGGGCCTTAATTTTCTCTAAATTGATTTATCAACTTTTAATACTTTTTAAGACCCCGCGGACACCCTGTAATAATTTAGTACTACAATACTGAGGTAACAGTGCTTAGTGCAAATAGCCGCTGCCTAAAGATAAAATATCTTTGTAAAATGCATCACGTTCTGGTTCAGTGTAATGATGCTATGTAATGATTACATGTGTCTTACAGAGCCACAGCAAAAGATTGTTTAGATAGGTCACTTCAAGGAGAAGCCCTTGCGTATACTTCTTAGTTTTACACATTCTCTATGTTAGATGCTGTTTTAGGCCGATTTTCTGAGCGTTGCTCCCATGTTTCACTCTGCAGCTTGTGAAGCAGAGCTGATGCCCACGTTTCCTCACCACAGAAACAAACGAGGAGGTTCTGTGACGGAAAACCAGTCCAAAAAGAAGCAAGGTATGACATCCTGCTGCCATCACAGATGTGTTTTACTTTCCCAGTGGACGTGTGTTCTTATACTCTTAAGATATTGTACAAATTAAGAGTTCAGTCTTGCAGACATGAGATGCATTGTAAATAATACAAATAAATCCTAGTTAGGGATGCTGTTGTTGTTTTTGTACAAAGATTTAAAAAAAAAGTTTTCTGTTCTGAATATGTCACGTGATTCATTTATATAAAAATGTCAGCTTTGGCTTGATCTGCTTTGTATTCTTGTTGTTCTGTGACTCGGTAGCTGATTTATCAGATCAGCCAAATTACAAGTAACTATTAATGGGCTGTTGGCAGTTGTTTTTTGTCTTTGTCCAACTGAGAAGGCAATCAGAATTTCAACTCCTCCCGTTATAGGATTTGATATTTACAGATTTGATAAACCTGGTATTCAAGGACATCAGGAAAGTACGAGGATCACAACATTTCTATTAGTTGTGAAGGGTTAAATAGTCTTCTTGGGAAAATTAGTTATTGAACCAGCGGTCTAGAATGAGCTTGGAGCATATAGTCAAGACCTGATGAAGCCGTCTCCTGTCTGGACAATTCTGCTCATCCTCTGAATGAGAAATTAATAAATGAGTTTTCCTCGGCAGGGAACAGCTGATTACTGCCTTCAGACCCCTCATTGATTTATGAATCTCAAAACGATGCTTTCTATTGACAACAACAACAAGAAATCATTCAGCAAAAGAAACAATATCAGTAAGACATTGAGCTGATTTTGTGAGGCACATAAGATTAATATCTGGATAGGTACATTGTGTTTAATTCTTGCACATTTTCTTCACAGCATTATCCATTCCCCTTCTCAAATAGAAAGGCAGCTTTTTTTCTGAAAACATACACAGCATGTTCATAGAAAATGATCCTTTGTTATAATGTTACACAACTACTGTCAGAAGGCTTGTCCATTTTAAGCAGCGTGGATAGGCTGAAGTCAATACAGCTGCACAAACAATGCACAAATTCTTTTAAAAGTCTTTTTTTTTTTTTATCAGATCAGGTTAATGTTATCCTTCAAAATGAATGACAGCTGTAACACACTTCATTACTACAACACATCTGCTGGATCAGGAACTGTTAAACAAGTGAAATGTTGATGGGTGACTCTGTCAAATACACAGCCAGGTCATATTTCAGCCCAGACTCAGAAGCAAGATACATTGAAAACATTGTCACTGGGGAAAAAAACTCGGAATAGTTGTACAACAGACTTGATTTTCTTTACCCAGATAGCCAAAATATGATTAAAGTACATCAAGCTAATTTTTTTTTGCATTGTGAAACTCTTTTCATGAAGCAAATCTCTATAGAGATTATTACATTATATTATTATAGAGATAAAAATCATCTACATGAACAATTGTGTCCAAATAGGCTTAATTTGCTTTCCAAATATAATTTTTTTTCCTGTTTAATTCTGAGGTTTAACGTGACCCAGACGTGTCTTTGAGAGATTCACCCAGACCACGTTTATACAGTAAAGTGCTGCAATACTAAGCTGGACACAAAAGATACTGATGAAGCTCAAATTGATCTGCACTCAAAACAATCCAAAAACTGAGAATAAATTAACATAAATACTCATCGGCGAGAGCTGTAATGTTGGTAGCCGGTTCAGAATAAAGGGCAGACAGACAAAATCTTTATAAAATTAATACTTCCAACAAATTTGATTATGTAAACATAGAACACTTTACAGCGAGCTTCATGCTCTCTGTTGCGCTTCTTCTTTCCAGTCTGCTGACTGTGATGTGGTGTAGTGTTGGGCGGAAGAAGTCAGATTCGGGTTAGTTTAGAGCAGATAGTCTTGGTTGACTGGATTGAATGGCGTGTTGTGCTTCAGCCGTCCTGTCCAAAATCCTCTGTGAACTTCTTCACCTTCAGCAGGTCTTCTGTGTTGACGGTGGGGCGTGTGGTCGCCAGAGAGAGCATGTCAGTCTAACACACACACACACACATGCACACACACAGACACATGCACACACGCACACACACACACACAGACACAGACAGACACACACACACACACACAGACACAGAGACAAACACAGACACACACACACAGACAGACACACACACAGACACAGACAGACACACACACACACACAGACACACAGATGCACACACACAGACACACACGCACACAAATGGAATTTATAAATAAATGTAATTTAATGCTGTGATCAAAGCTGAATTTTCAGCATCATTACTCCAGTCTTCAGTGTCACATGATCTTCAGAAATCATTCTAAGACATAATTATTATTGAAGCTCAGTTATTAATAATGGTTCTTAATTATTGTCAGTGTTAAAAATAGTATTTGCTGCTTCACATTTTTGTGGAAGCCATGATACATTTTATTTCCAGATTCTTTGATAAATAGAAATTTCAAAAGCACAGCATTTAACTGAAATTAAAAAGACGTGTTAGTTTTGTAACATTATAAATGTCTTTACTGTCACTTTTGACCAATTTAATACAACCTTGCTGAAAAGTATAAAATTGTTCTTATATAGTCATATATATATTCATGTGTGTGTGTGTGTGTGTGTGTGTGTGTCTGTGTGTGCACGCGTGTGTGTATATTCTCATTTATTATATTTATATATATATACACACAGTATACACAGAACTGGATTACATAATCAGATTCCAAATATTAAGTACTTGTAATTAGAGTAAATTACATTTTAAAACACTCATAATCAAACTACAGTTACTTTTTTATGGATACATGATAACATTATTTACACAATAGCAATTATTTATTCTCCCCAATTCCTCTTCTTCATCTTTTAAATGTTCCTTTCTAAAATGTCCGACTGCATATAAACACTCAGAAAGACTCCAGTTTTGTGGAGATTCAGAGAGATCAGTCATTAGTCAGATTTATACACAGCATCTGGATTTACAAAACCATTTCAGGTTTAAGAAGTGTTTCAACATTGCATCAACTACTGATGAACACATTCATTTCTATTTGAATTATCACTCAGTTGCTTATTTTACCAGCCGTTTGTCTTTCAAACACATTAAATGCACAAATTCACCAACTTTTTTGTCATCTGATCCTCTTTCACCTAATATATTTTTATTTGAAGGACCCCTAAGATTTTAAAATAAATATTTTAATAATTAACTAATTTGCATGTTCACGGTTCCCTGTTGGTTGTGGTCACATGACATGCAGGTAAACAAATAAAATATTTCATTTTTTCAGTAAGTGTTTTATTTTAAATCATTTTAAAATAACCCCAAAAGCAAAATACCCTAACCCTAAAGTTTAATTTAACATTTTTACGATTTAATTAATTATTAGCTTTCCGTTAAACTTACAAACTCCCTGCAGTTCCTTCACAAAACTTGATGTTTAATGTTTAGTGCACTTCATGTTGTTGATAACCAATAGAATATATTTTCTTACTCTTTGTATTTTTATATCAATTTGGTACAAGATTATGCTATTTAAATCAATGTGAAAAACGATATAGGTCAAAAGAAATCTAAAAGTAGTCTGAATATATTACTTAATGTGTAATGTAATGGATTATGTTACTAACTACAATTTTTATCATGTTATTTGGAATCAGTAACAGTAATCCCAAAAGTTTGGGATCAGTAACATTTGTAATGTTTTTTTAAAGATGATGCTGAAAATTCAGCTTTGCCATCAAAGGAATAAATGACAATTTAAAATATATCAAAAGAGAAAACAGTTGTTGTATTTTGTGTACCATGCACACTATGGGCTCCAGCAGTTTGTCACTAGGAACATCCATCCAGGTCATCTCTATGGCATCAGGGTCACCGGGGGAGCACGGGGTCAGGAGGTCATCCACCATCACAGAGCTGTTACTGCGAGACGGCCCTCACACCTGACGAGCCGAGAGCACAACACAAAAACAGAGTTCAACTCGCTGTTCTAGATCTATGAAGATTGAAGGGCTCATATGATGCCATTTCAAGCTGTCCTTTGTCTTTCGAGTGTTACAAGCTGTTTGTGCATATAAGCAGTGGTGTAAAGTAATAACACTTCGTTACAGTACTCAAGAATTTTTTGGGAGTATCCGTACTTTACTTGAGTTATTATATTTCAATCAACTTTTACTCCACTACATTTCCTAATTAAAATGTATACTTTTACTCCGATACATTTCCCCGAAGCATATTCGTTACTTACTACAAAATAGTCAGAAGTCAGAAGAACACGGACTGCAGGAAAGCAGGTTTGACGAATCAGTGGTCTGGTGTTTGCAAGTTGGACTCCTAAAAACACCTTTGTTCACGTGCAAACAAGTGCGCGCACAACTGCAGATGATTCATTTTCCACTCAAGTCAAGTCTGGGGCATGAAATACAGCATCGTCTGCAATAATGTGGTAAGTGTTGTTGTAATGATGTGCGATCTGACATTATCAAGTAGGCTATATCACCAAATCACACACACAGTGCACACGCACGTTGATTTATTAGTCTATTACATTAAGTACCGGATGAAGTGCTTCTTATTCTTACCCAAAGATAAAAAAAAATGGAAGAAAGAGTTAAAACTGAACACAATCTTGCTACTCAAGCTGTGTATGAACATTTTTCTATATATATTTATTTGCTCCTTTTCGTTTTGCATTTACTTGTACTTTTACTTTCAATATACTTTCATTATACTTTTCATACTTAAGTACAATAAATATCACATACTTTAAGACTTTTACTCAAGTAATATTCTAAACGGTGACTTCAACTTCTACCAAAGTCATTTTCTGGTAAGATATCAGTACTTTTACTTAAGTATGGCTTTCAGGTACTTTATACACCACTGCATATAAGATCCCTAAAGTTGCAAAGACTAAAGTCTCAAACCCAAAGAGATATTCTTTATAAAGGTTAAGACTCGTCCACGCCGACGCCTCCACAAATCTACATCACACTGTGTGGGAAGATTTGCATAACACCGCCCAAATGTTTACTCAAAGAAAGAAGGCATAACTTTTATTCTCGTTGTTGTCGTGGAGACGCTGTGTTTCCAAATATGGTAAGGGGCGTAACATTTCCGTCACATGCTTGAAGTATTCGGCCAATCACAACGCACTGGATAGCTGGCCAATCAGAGCACACCTCGCTTTTCAGACCGATGAGCTTTGTAAAAATCGACGCATTTCAGAAAGACAGGGCAAAGAGCAAAAATAATGTACAGTATGTGGAAAATAATGTTTTTTTTAACCTTAAACTGTGTAAACATTGCATTACACAAAATAATGTTATTTTTAGCATCGTCATATTTTTCCTTTAAAGAAAAACAATTATTTTAAAAATGTAATTTGACTCATTGAACTTGCAACTTTGTTTCTGTCTAATGTGTCTATTCAAACAAACAATTCACTGCTGTTGTCTATATTTGTCCATATTTTGTCCAACAATGTACACATGTACAAACATTTTTCAAACATATTTTTCAAGGTAGAGAATTTTTTTTGTAACACTTTACAATACGGTTTCATTGGTTACCTTTAGTTAATGTGTTAACTAACATTAACTACCAATGAACAATACATTTGTTACAGTATTTATGAAGTTACAGTATATGCATTTCTATATACAATACATTTGTTACAGTATTTGTTATTGTTAGTTAATAAAACTATAACTGTTCAATGTTAGTCCATGTTAGCTCAGGTCCATTCAATAATATTAACAGAAACAACTTCTGATTTTAATGTCTTGGTAAATTGATTGTTTAATATTACAAATTAATTTAAACATTATACATATTAGATAAATATTATGAAAAACAGATCCAGGCATAAGTCATGTTAAGGCTCATGTATAAAAGCAACATGTCAACAGAGCTGCTTGACCATCATTTATTTGTTACCTTTTTGAAGTGTGTAGAGGACTGCACTTTCCTGACAGGCTGCATGAGAGCGTCTCGCACTATGATGCTGATATCGGCTCCGGAGTATCCGTCTGTTTTGCGGGCCAGCTGACGCAGGTCTGTTTCAGTCAGACTGTGAGGCGTGTTTCCCAGATGTAAGCGAAACATGGCTGCTCTGGCCGGCTCCTCGGGGAGAGGGATGTAGATGCGCTTCTCAAACCTGCACCGACCAGCGGGAGGATTCGACAGATTAAAGTCTGGAGCTGAAACATGAGCACTTTTCTACTTTGAAAGCATTTATCAGACTGACCTTCTGCGAATAGCAGCGTCAAGCACCCAAGGAATGTTAGTAGCACCGAGTAATCCCATCGTTGTTATTACCAACACCTGCAGAAGAGAGACGCCCACAAACCATCAGACAATCCCACCAGAAGAGCTTGTGAGAAAATTATGAGGAAATCCTGCATCGTTCTGTATGTGGGTCCATTCATTTTTGGTTACACTTCATTTTAAGGTGTCCTTGTTATTTAGTTATATTATTATATGTTACATGTACATGTATTATAATAACAATAAATTATGATTAATTACATGCAAGTAACCGTAATCCTAACCATATAGTAAGTACATGTAGTTCCCATCTCATCTTCCTCCCTTTTTCCGAGGCCGGGTCACGGGGGCAGAAGTCCAAGCAGAGCCCCCCAGACTTCCCTCTCCCCGCACACCTCCTCCAGCTCCTCTGGGGGAACCCCAAGGCGTTCCCAGGCCAGCTGGAAAACATATTCTCTCCAACGTGTTCTGGGTCTGCCCCGAGGCCTCTTCCCAGTGGGACATGCCTGGAACACCTGCACCAGGAGGCATCCGAAACAGGTGCCCAAGCCACCTCAACTGGCTCCTCTCGATGCGGAGGAGCAGCGGCTCTACTCCGAGCTCCTCCCGGGTGACTGAACTCCTCACCCTATCCCTAAGGGTGCGCCCAGCCACTCTGTGGAGGAAACTAATTTCTGCCGCTTGTATCCGCGATCTCATTCTTTCGGTCATGATCCAGAGTTCATGACCATAGGTGAGGGCAGGAACGTAGATCGACCAGTAAATTGAGAGCTTCGCTTTGAGACTCAGCTCCTTCTTCACCAAAACAGACCGGTACAATGACCGCATTACTGCGGACGCAGATGGATATCTGTCAACCTGCCGCTCCATTTTTCCCTCACTCGTGAACAAGACCCCGAGATACTTAAACTCCTCCACTTGAGGGAGCAACTCCCCCCAACCTGGAGGGGGCAATCCACCTTTTTCCGACGGACTCAGTGAGGCTATAAACTTTATATTAAATGCACCAGTTCAGCTAGAATCTGGAGGTTGTACTTGCGTTGCCTTTGTGTTAAGGGAATTCCTTTTGTATGATATGGCTGCAGAAAGGGGTTTCCCAAAGTTGTTGATTGGCTGAAAGTTCAGTAGTCATTGGAAGTGAGGTCTTGGGCGTTGGCTGAAGGATGGTGTGGAGTCGTGTACGCTGGCTGAAGTTTTAAAGTTGGTGCAGACAACGTCTGACATGGCTTTGCGGCAAAACGTAGAACACAAAACTCTCAACGGGAAAAGAAAAGAAACTGATGTAGAAGAAAGAAACAAAAGCTGATGAGGGTAGACGGCTTATCTTCTCATGGTGGTTGAGTAGCAGCGGGCGTGCAGGCCAAAGCACACTGGAAGAGCTCTCGAAGAACACAAAAAGCAGTGGCAAAAAGCCCAAAAAGGCTACATTTGTTGGTGTTGTGAGTTTTTAAACTCATCTGTTGGACACATGTCAAATGGTGTCTTGACCAAATAGACATTGTCTTATTTCGGGGGGTTGCTATGTTTCACCTCCCAATACACAAATCAACGTGTGTCATGTCACATAGTCTTATACTATGTGAGAGTATAATTTAGACATTTCAATTATAACAA